GTATAACTCTTTCACAAATTCACGACAGATTGTGTTTACTTTTCTATCATCAATCATAACTTGTTTTTGTCTAAACTAAAGCTTCCTTAGTTCATTATATCACAGATGAGTACGATTAAGATATAGGGCCTCCACATCTCAGAGTGTCTTTTTCACAGTTGTTAACGAGGCGTGAGACCTTCTAGATTTATTCATGCCAGTTTATATAACTCATATGCTTATGTGACCACAGCCAGATTTATAACTACACTGAAAAATCATCCCAGGCCACTCCAATTATTTGTGTGTGTGTGTGTGTGTGTGTGTGTGTATGTGTGTGTGAGAGAGAGAGAGAGACAGACGGACAGACAGACAGACCACAAAAATTTCACTAGTTTTTCAGGACAGGGCTGATGAATCAGATGGCCATGACCTGCCTGAGTCCCACATTTATATAAAGTGTCCACCCTGCTATCATAACACAGCAGAACCTATTTCTGGGATCTACTCACCAATGGCAATGTGTATTATAGGCGTGGTTACTGCATGGACAAGCTCTGTCAAAAAGAGAAAGATTTCAGTGTTGGCTTCATCTCAAACGTCTGTGTCTGATTCACAGACATCTGTGTCTCCCGGAGAAATAACTTTTTTACGACCAGAGCTGTCCAATGGAGAAATAAGCCACTTCCTAAGGGAGTAAACTCTCCATAATGGGAAGTGGTCAGGCACTGTGGGGAAGTGTTCCAGCCCTGGGTGGGGAGGTAGGGCCTTCCTGAGATTTGAGGATGCTACATTTATGATGGAGGTCGCCTTCGGTCACACAGGATTATTGTAAAATGACACCTAGTGAGGGTCTGTTATTTCATAGTGAGGTGTTTGGAGAAGCAAGGCTTTGGGTGTATTCCAAAGTCGGATCCAATGGAAGATGTTTATGTTGGCCTGTGCAAAAAGCATCTACACATGGAACCAGCTCTAGGTCTCAGGCCATGCGGTCGAGCTCCAGGGCGGAGCACAGTGGGAGCAAGTCCAAATGGTATATGTAGACCCTTTGAACAAAAAGATGCTGCTGTCCCCACACTCGCTGGCATCATTATTTAATCGCCTGCAGAGTCAGCTCCACGGCTCTTGGCTGTGTCTCTACTCTGCTAGTCCTCCCGTCCTCTCATCCTCTCAACATCAACTCGTGGTGCAGCACCCTCGACTGACCTGGGGAGGGTCATTCTGAAGGGACAGCTTCAGAGAGAGCTTCAGAGAGCTCTCCCTGCCATCTTTTCCTCTGGAGGAAATCACAACCAGTGCTGAGCGTGACAAGAACCTCCACACTCTTTATGTGGGATTTTAAGAGCACAGATCTGGGGCCCAGCTTGGGAAAGCAAAGTGAAGAAAAGCAAATCCTCCTCTAAAAATGGGCTTTTGCCCAGAACTGCTTCTAAGCGAAGGGAATTTCTTGCAACCTGGGAGAGTCGCAGTGAGCGTTCTTCTCAAGCACAGCGTTTTGGTGAAGTCTGTGTGCGATACTGCAACCACAAAGGAATTTACCGCAGGAAGTGTCCCAGATGTTGCTTGTTAGCATTAGAACAAATTACACAAAGTAAATTGTTAGCAGACATGTTTTCATAATAGTTAACTGGTGGTAATAAATAAGAGCGATTCTCTTTCAAGTAAATGCTAGATTTCCAGAAATCCAGCTTCCAATCGTCCGTGAGGGGATCATCTTGGATCAGGATAACCACTGCACCACTGCAGGAAACACCGCTCTTCTTGCAGCGGCAGGGTTGGAAGCACAGGTGCCGCAGGGCGGGGGTGGGGGTGGGGGTGGCGGGGCGCTGCACGGGGGCATTGCTGCTGCGCCGGACATCTCATAATGGAAATGGCAGTGTTTGTACCTCTGGATGTGGGACCGTGTGCTGGACTCACCTCTGGGGTTCTCAGCATGGTCCTCTCATGCCACAAGGGGTATGGGCACACGGCAAGGCAACAGGAGAGCCAGGCAGGTCTTGGAGTGTTTATGTCCAAAAAAACCCCAAATCGGACCCGTGGATAGATTTGCACCACTTTTCTTAACAAAATATTTCAGTTTTCAAAAAGTCATCTACTTCACAATCCCATGTCTTGTTATCTGAGTTAAAAAAAAAAAAAAATGAGTCAAACCCACTCCCCCTGTAGCCCCCTTGGGGAAGAGTGGAAAAGGTGCCCTGCCCAGCAAGGCTCAGACAGCGAGGCCTCCTTCCGCTTGTGCACACGGAAATGTGGCTGCTGCTTTCGAAAGAGCAGAATATTTCCATTTCTCAAGGCCTTCTCACAATGACTAAATCTGAGTCCCTGGGCACCTCTGGGCATTTCCAATTATCTTTGGAGATTTCACAAAATTTTCCTGACACCACCTCAAAAATAATTTTAAAAATAGTTTTAATTTAAAAAAATTAGAAATATTCCACACAGCACATACATACAAAAATAGGTTATTGCAGCATAAAAGGCTGTTAGGATAGCTGCTCTTTCATTGCTTCCCTAAGAAATGTATGGCTTTGTCCTCCCTCACTGGTTTCCTTTGTGGGCAAACCGGTCTGAGCCCAGTATTCCTTCCCAACAGATTGAATACAGTTGGTTCTCCTGAGTTCGTCACTCCTTTTTCCTGGTGAGAGGAAAAAAAAATAAAAATTGGCAGCCCTGCTGAAGGGAAATGATGGGAGCCTGGTATACTCTCTGGTAGGCGCTACACGAGGCCCCCAGGGCCACTGTTCCCACTGTCACCCGCAGCTGCGGGCCTGGCATGCCCAGTCAGCGCCCGAGGGGGCAAGCCCAGGAGCCCAGAGTAGTCCTGGTCACCCAGCTGCCTCCAGGGCACACCCTGCTGGCACGAGAGGGGACACCAGGTAGTAACAGCCAGTAGGAAGACGAGAGCAGGTTCCGCCTCCGTGTCACAAAGCTGGCAGACATTTTATACCAAGAAATGCAATAGCTAACACACTCCCAGCCACTTCTAAGGCTCTTCCAATGACAGTGTCAGGAAACACACACACACACACACACACACACACACACACACAGACAAACCCACATCTTTTACCTAAAGTCTTTGTGAAGGGAATAATGTGCTTCATAAAATAAAATATTTGAAAGGCCTTAGGCAATAGAATTGTCTCTTGATTTTTTTTTAAAATGTTTAACAGACAAGTGTAATTGGAAATGTTTGGAACATGAACACATGCACTAGTTTGGAATTATGCAAAACTATATTATTATTCACTACAACCTGAAGCAAAGCTACTGCAATGGAATGACAAGTACCATATCTGCACAAGTGTGAGGCCCCCAAGTAGGCTCTCGTTTGGACGAGAGTTACCCGCAGGACCTCACGCTTTAAGGTCCGTTTAAAGGAAACAGCCTAGTGTGTTCTACATTTGTGAAGCTATTTAGCCTTCTGGTTAGACAAGATTTTTGAGAGGGGTGAAAATTAATTATAATTGCAGTAATGCTACAATAATTTGGTCGGCTAATTGCATTTCAGTGCAAAAACAGGCAAGGAAGAATTTCCTCCCCAGGTTATTCTCTGATATGGCACCATTCATTTTAAGAGTAATGAGATTTTTAAAAAGTCAGATCTTAAATATCATGGCTGCAGCAATCTGTCCTGCTGAAAGTGTAATGCAAAATTAGACGGCACCTCTGCGCGAGCAGCTCCGCGTGAACGTGGATCCAGTTTTCTCCTGTACTTGGAATGGGAACATGTCTCTCCCCTGAATACTACTCGAGACATCTCTTTGCCATGGTCTGGGGCTGATTTTATTTGAGGGAGGGCACCAATGTCCATGACTTCTCAGTGAGGGAGGCACTGGTGAGGGTGGGTAGGAAGTTTTGAAAGCTTAGTATTGGAAGTCACTGAGCAGGGTCTCTGTCGATGGAAGAGGCACCACGGGCACAGGAGGACTGAGCAAGGACCCCCAGGGTTGTGGTGGGATTTTCTCCCTGGTTTCACACCGGCAGTTCTAAATACACAACCTGGCCATGGCTTTTTGAGGGAAATTATCGTCACTCTAGACCATCAGCGAGCACTTAGGATTAACAAACTTTTGAGGGATAATGTCTGTTGTTTTTAAAATCTTGAAGACTGTCCCACGGCCTGATTCAAGGTAGTTTTGTCGTGTGCTGAAACCAACAGACCTTCTGCAATCTGACAACTCGAGCTCAATTCAGTGGGCAGGTTTAGGACATTCTCCTCCTGCCCTGTCGGTCAGGCTGTCAGTCTAGCCGCCCTTCATGTGTCTGAGAAGGATTTTGCTATGATGTGCTTTCTCAAAGACTGCACGTCAAAGTGGGCCTAAGAGCATGGTGTGGAATATTTCTTATAGTCTTCATCTACACTCTAACTGATTGATAGGCGATCGATTTGCACATCTACCCAGGGTTGCCCACGAGGTTGCACAGGTCATGTTCTTCATGAGGGCAGTTGGTCAAGGGGTTGAGATCCCAGCCTGTTCCACTTGCCAGCTGAGACCCCTGCTCGGGCTGCAGCCTGGAGGAGGCTGTGCCTTTCCTGATTCACACGTGGGCCAAGGGAGGCCCCAAGTCAGCCTCGATCCTCACCCTCCCGGGGATCACAAAGTCTAACATTCATCTGCTCATTGCCAACACTGTAGGTGTTTTTTTAAGGACCAGGTTATGCCCACAGCAAAGGTGAATTCATCCTGAAGATATGTCTCCTGCTCAGTGAGAAAGAGGAGGAAAAGAGAGAGAAGGAGAGAAAGGAGAAGGATAAAAAGAATGGCGGAGAAGAGGTTTCCCTTCTGCCTAGTAAATTATGGATTCATTGTCCATCTATGGACACAGCTGCAAAGGGGCAGAAAATCAATTTTTTCTATTACTCCACGGTGAGGAAGGAAAACCTATTTGTAAATTGAATTAAACTCAATAATAGCATGTCTGTGTATTTGTTGAGGACTAGAAAAATTAGCCACAGATACAACTACATAATCCAGCAGTGTAACTAGAAATCAGCACTCTCCCATTTCAAAGCTTAGTTGAGACATTTTTTCTTTTTCTTTTTAAAAGAAACACCCGTGGCTAAATGTCACTAAGATTCTTCAGCATACCGACACATCAACACCTCAATAAGGACTCTAGAAGGGAAGGGACTCCAAAGCCCCGTCTGGGCAGAGTGTGTTTCCAAATTCTTGCCTTTGCTGCTTGCCTATCAGTCAGTCAGTCAGCAATGACTGGATGTGAACTAGAACCCTCTAGATGATGGTTTCTTCCCAAGTTGTAATCTGTGATGCTGACTGGGGAATAAATCCCTGTTTCTGTGTAGGCTAGATCTTGTCCACAGAAACCCTAACCCATCCGCTGAGCACCGTGTAATCGATCACTGCAGTCAGTGAGGGTCCTGAAGTTTCATTAGCAGTCTGCCCTCTAGTGGGGAAACACAGGACTTCGGATAACTAGGAATAGAAAAGATCTTTTTTTTTTTTTCATTCTCTTTCAGAGAGCAAAAGAATTCAAGTTTTCCAGATAGTGCAAGGTGAGGCAGTCATCCCCAGAGACAGCTTCCAGAGCTGAGTCAAGCAAGGCTCACACTGGTCGGTACCCAGGTCAAAGTTAGAGGCAGGTGGCGCTGCGGTGTGTGTCCCTGCAGACCCCGCAGGGACAAAGGTCCTTCTTATATCCCTTGAGCCCTCCGGGGCTCTCCTTGGCATTAGCATTCAGTCCCCCATTCTCTCATTATGCAAATAGGACCCACTCTAAGAGCAACCAACATATCAGGGATGTTATAAATAACAGGCTTTTCATAATTTTTTTTGGCAAATCATTAACAAGGATGAGTCTTTCGAAAAGGGCCATGTTGGATTTTTAAAAAGGCAAAGATGCACAAGTTTTATAAAAAGACCAAGTCTCTGTAGCTGTTAGTTTTAGGAGGAGAGTCTATTTTGTGACGTTGGCTGGATGTTGGTAAGGCAGAAGATAATCTTGATATCTGTTGTTTTAGATTTTGCTTCTATCTTTTGAAAAACTTCAGAACTTGCCTTGCTTCAGTTTGTCAATGTGGTAGCAGAGTTTCAGTGCAGGTCCCAGCTTCAGGCCCAGATACTTCATGATCATGTCACTCTTCAGCAACAAGAGCGCATAGCCATCAATCTCCTGGTGGAACAGGATCAGAAAAAAGAAAGCCCAGAAGATGGTCAGAGTCATCAAGTGGTGGCCAAGGTTACAGTGTGGTCAGGGGCTATGGTAAGGGCATATGGATTTATTTAGATAGCATATGCTCTCTCTTTTAAAATATTAAAGCAAGCAAATACTGTGTGCTCCTCTTCCTACCGTCTCCCTGGAGTCATTGGATACACTGGACCTTTAACATTCCTGCCCTCCCCCGATGGAAGGAATCAAACATAACCCCACCTATGTTCCCAACATCCCACATATGAGGTTTATCGCCTCATCCAATCTCAGCTAAAGGAACAAAAAGGGTCATCCCTCGGACTTTCCATTCCAGACTTTCATCCATCACCCTAATCTCTTATTTCTTTTCTTAGTGAGCCCTCCTACCTTTAGCTGATTACAAAACTGCTCATTACACTAGATGAAGGATTTCAGGTATGTTTTAGCCCTGTCAATAACACTAGGTGGAACACACTGAATAATCCACCTGCTTCATCTCAGAGTTTAGCACAAAGAGCTGCTAATGGAATGAGCCGATCCTCTGAGGTCCTGTGACTGCTCCTACTTGTCTCTGGAAGTGGTAACCCTCCAGCACAGACCTCGCAAGGCTGGGTTTCCTCGCTCACCTGTAGTGCTATCTTCAGGTCACTGGAGACAAAGGGTAGAAATTTGGGGTGCTCAGGTGGAGGGAAGAGACACAGTTATGGACTCAGGTAGCTGTGCAAGGGTCAGCAGCCCCTCTCAGTCACCTATCCAGCCAGCCAGTATGGACAGAGCACCTACCCTGCACCACTCGCTCTCCACGTCCTTGGCAACATGGCAGAGTGGGCAAAGCTCATCTGCAGGCCCCTCCTAGGAGCCCCATTTCCTACTGTTCTAGACTCCCACCTTGTGCTACCACCCTGGAAGAGAGCTAGACTCCCCCTGCCCAAATCTGCCTAAACATAACCCTCTCTGTGGTCCTTGGTCTCAAGGCCCCATCGTTAGGAAAGGTCAAACATATGTCTGATTAAGTGTGAGTGTTGAGTTAGATGAGAATCCTCCCAGGATCTGAGAGTATGATTTCTATGACAGAATCACCTAGTAAAATGGGAAAAAAGAAGGAAAAATATAATGCTAACTGGTAGGCAGAATAATGCTCCTTCCACTCCCCAGGATGTCTATTGCTGAATCTCGAGAATCTGTGAATCTGTTAGGTTACACGGCAGTGGGGAATGAGGCTGTTATTGGCTGACTTTAAAGAAGAGAGATTAGCTTGGATTATGGGGAGGGGGGCAAGGTAAACACGAGGGTCCCTAAAAGTGGAAGGGGAAATCAGCAGAGAGAACCAAGGAGGTGGCGGCTGGAGAAGGACTCGGCTTGACGTTATTGGCTTTAAAGATGGGGGGGGAGGTGAGCAAAGGAGTGACCGTGGACCTAGCAGCTGGAAGAGGAAGGCAAACGCAGGCGCCCTGGCAGCTCGGTAAAGGAATGCAGCCTTGTCGACACACACAGCACCTCCTAGCCCGCTGGGTGTGTGAGCGCACTTACCCTGACCTCCCCCACGAGCCTGTAAACAGCCCAGTGAGGCCCGTGGCAGACTCCTGACCTACAGAGCTGTAAGGTAAAAAGTTTGTATTGCATTAAGCCACTACGTTTGTGGTGATTTGTGATAGTAGCGATACAAAGCTAACATTGTAAGCTTGTCAGGTAAAGTATTAATTCTTACCTTTAAAAAAAATTTACCATCTTCATATATTTCAGAGTCTCCTAAATAATTAGAATAATATCTGCTAATAAGGCTATCTACGAGCCAGGCACCATGTTGAACATTTTATGTGCATTTTCTCATTTCATCCTCAAAGCAGTTTAGGAATAGGCACTGTTACAGTTTGCCTGGCATATTGTAGGTGCGCTATAAATGTTTGTTGAATGCACAGACAGACGGATGGATGGGCAGGAGAACAGGCACTCCTGATGAAGGCCAAAATGAGAGAACAGATGGGATAAATATCTCTTAAAAATAAAACTAAGTGGTCGTTTCACTCTGAGAAGCCCGTGGTTGCATCTGCCCCTGTCATCTCTGGCTCCCTTGCGTGGGGGTCACCCCTAGGGCTTGGTTCAGGTCCCCCAGAATGCTGCAGCCCCCAAACTTCACCTCCCTCCATGCCTGTCCTCCCAGTCCCTCCCGGCCAGGCCTCCACTTGCATACGTGCTTCCTGAAGAGCTCCACGTGGGGCCCCAGAGCCTGCGGGTCGGCGTCTTTCACGAACCACACCACGTCCTCCACGGTCCAGTTGTAGGGGTTCCTGCTCCGTGGCCGCCTGGCATCCTGCCCTTCCAGAGAAGGGTTTGAGGCTGGATGGAGCACAGAGAGGGAGCCATGAGCCAGGGGCACAAGCCCTTGCACCTCCCTGGTGCTGCCTGCCCCACCTGGCCTGGTCAGGGTTCCTCAGTGCCCTCCATCCAAGGAGGTGGCCCAAGTGACCCCTGCGACTGGGAAAGGCTGCTCTGTCAGCAGCCTGGAGCACGGAAAGCCACTCCTGGAGGCAGTGCCCACCCACCCATGCAGAAGCGCTCTGCTCTCCCAGGGAATGAAGCATTAGAAGGTGGATTTCCTTCAACAGGCTGAAACTCTGATCCGAGCTAGAGTTTTCAAGACCCCTCCTGTTCAGCTGTCCCTCAGTGAGCCCAGGGTCTCCTGCGACTGGGTACTTGGTGACCAGGGCAAGTGTGCTAAGTGAGTGTCCGAATGGGCCCCATGGTGCTGGGAGGCCAATGACTTTGGGTCCTTTCTGCCTCACTGGCTTCACACTGAGATGCTAGAGACACGGCAGAATTGAGGTGCATTTTGGTCCTCGTTCTTGGTCTCTGAAGAGTACAAATCTGCTACATCATCCTTGGAACCATCCCTTATCTGCACGTGCACCCCACTCACTGCCCCAGGTACACTCTGAGCGTTCCACAGCCGCCTGGGTGTGTGAGAGCATGTACATGTACCCTGACCTCCCCTCTGCACTGTGAACTCCTTGACCAAAGGGCCTGACCCTGTGCCTGGTCCACAGCTGGTTGCATGAGCGCCATTTCCCATGCAGCAGACGAAAAAGCTTGGGGCAGGTGAAGGAGGAAGACAGCAATGAGTTCTATGCCTGGCAAAACTTAGGGGTTGATTTTTTTGTGTGTATGTCCCAAATTATCTCACCTTCTTTCCCTAGAGCCAGCTTCTCCTCCTATCTCCCCCATTTCTGAAACCCACTTCTACCTTCTCCCGCTCCTTTGCTCCCCACATTTAATGATTCTGAAGCTCTTGCAAGGAGCCTCTCATGTTGGTCTTCATGTTGGGCCCTTGCTGCCCCAGTCCCAGAGCCTCTCACCCAGCCCCCACAGGGGTTTCCCAATGGGTCTTTCTGCACCATGCTCTTTTCTTTCTAGCACGCACAGCTGCCGCTGCCTCGTGCTCTCCTTGAGACTCGGGTCTGTCTGTGCCCATCTCCTGCTCACACTCCCCACGATCCCCCTTGCCTATGCACTGCATCCGCACTCTACCTCAAGGTCAAGGGCTCTCTTTGGTCTCAAAGTATCTTTCCTTCCTAGATGGAGGAGGAGGACTCTGGTGCCAGAGAGACCCAGGGACAGATCATGGAGCTGCCCCTGCTGGTGGTTTGACCAGCACCATCTCATCAAGTGTGAAGGGCTGACCAGCCTTGAGGACTGAGCTGTCAGGGGCGCCCTCCCTGCACCCCCTGTCTGCGTGCGCTGGTTACAGCCACATGTCTCCTTAGCTTCCCTTCTCTACCTTCAGCTGGTACTTCAGTCTCTCTCTAGAAGGCATTTACCCTCCTCCTTCCCACTGCCCTTGCACCAGCCATCAAAGCCCAGGTAACACCTGATGTCTTGCTGAACAACTTTGCTGTTCCTGCAGCCTGGATGTCACCTTCCTCCCCCTTTAATCTCGAATCTTTGTTCTTAAAGTGCTTCCCACTTGTAGTACAATTATTTATGTCCTCCTCTGTAACCCTGAGTTAGGTTCTAATTTCCTGAGTATTCGTCCCCATTCACTCCACAAACATTCACTGAGCACCCTCTCTGTACCAGGTCCTGGGTGAAGTGTTTGGTGAAAAATGCAAATGTGATCCTCTCATTACAGGGGTTATAACCATCGAGTCCTCCATGGTTCTGAGTAAACACATTGTCACATACCATGGGATGACCCTTTGGTCACTGACAGACCCCACATATGACCATGGTACCATAAGATTATTATGGAGCTGAAAAATTTCTATTGCCTTGTGATAAGGGCTACAATTGCCTACATAGCCAGTACAGTAACGTGCTATACAGGTTTGTAGCCTAGGAGCAACAGGCTAGCCCGTTTGGTCTAGGTGTGTAGTAGGTTATACCATCTAGGTTTGTGTAAATACACTCTATGTGTTCGTCCAACAAAATGCCCAACAACACGTTTTTCAGAACATATTGTAATCATTGAGTGAAGCATGACTGTATTTGTAAATATGACTTCGATAAATGTGAAATTAATCAATATACTTCGCAGAAACAGTCTAGGTAACGTACACAAAAGCCTTGTGTGGGTAATCCTTAATCCCATTTTAAAGCTAGAAAAACGTGGAGGCTCTGACCAATGAAGCAGCTTCCCTGCAGAATAATTCTAAGAAGGTGAGAAGTCTTCACTTTTGTTTCCCCTCTTCAATTGCAGGGTGTAGTGGCTTTCTGGTCTCCATTCCCTCCTGCTTTTAACGTGCTTGAGAAGTGCATGGTGCTCCATTAGCGCTGAGAGAAATACAGCATCACATTTCTGAGTCCGTCCTAAATACATAATGGTTCAGTTGAGAATTGGATTTACTTTGAGATTTTTCCCTGGCTTTTCCCTGTCGGACCTGGAGGGGTCCCATAAGGTGGTTTGGCACAGGCCATCTTGCTGGCAAACTGTTAATGCACCCTGGAGCCCTCTGAATGCTGATGCATGCTTTTTAAGGGTGATTTCACTCCATTTAAAGACATCTGCACTCAACATGGGGACGAGGAATCACAGAAATTGCATTTGCCTTTGGATCCCGCCCCATCAGAACGTCGGCGTTAATCAGAGTGATAATAGATGCTCTGATTACAAAGGCTGGAAGTCTCTAGTGCCAAGAATAATTTTAGAGTGATCGGAGCAGAGGTCAAATCTAATTTCCTGCATTTGACAGGAAGGGGAAAAAACCCAGACCAATTAACAGGATCAGTCAAGGGAGCCGAAGGTCCTCTGAGCAGGGTCCGGGAATACTCTCCCCTCGGCCACAGCTGCGGGCTGAGCACAGGGCCTGGCGTGTCTTTCAGGAGGAGGATCTCAGGTGACCTCTGCGGAGGGGAAGAGACAAGTGCACTGGCAGAGTGGGCTCTGTCCCTGGTACCTGGTGCTCGCTGGGGGCACTTTCAACTTTTCCAGGATGGAGCAGCCACAGCCAGAGTCTGGCTCGAGAGTGTTTCTGAGAGGCCTTTTCAGGAAGGGGCCTAAGTCACATCTTGGGAGATGCTCCTGAGCCAAAGCACATAAACTCCCTCTAGAAGGAAGAAAAATGGGACTTTCCAGCGGCAGGTTCGCAAAGCCTTTGCAGTGGTCTGTGCTCACAGAGACACAAACACACCGGCCACTCCCCCTCCAGCTGCAGCCAAGGTGTCGGGAAGACAGATGGGTCGGGCCTGATGCAGCCGGGGCAGGCGGATGTGACAGGTCAATGGTAAGACGTGATGGATGTGAAGAAATCTTGCTCCTAGGCAAACAGAGCCTGCTAAGCACTGGCCAGACACATTTCAGAGAAGGCGGCATTCTCCATCCAGCAAGGAGAACTTTGTGCTTGGTCACGTCACTCTCTGGGGGCTGCCGGGGACATGTGAAAAGTGAAACCCAGTTATGAATGGATGGATAATTACATGTAGTTGTTGTTTCTAAAGCTGAGCTCACATTTACCGGAAAGAGGGTAACTATGAGTCGGTGTTGAAAAGCAGTCCTGGATGTTTTCATGGCACGGTACTTGTATCACTGTCTGTGACTCTCTCTCTTACACATTCACAAGTGCATACATACATATGTAATTTGCTTCTGCTCATTCATAATTCAGGAGAAACTTTTGCTACCAATGGAGTCACGTGGAAGGCTGGAATGAGCAAGGAGCTGGGAGTCGGAGATCCCTACCACCCCCGGCCGTGGGACCTCTCTGCGCTCCTCCATGTAAAAGGAGGGCGTTCACGTGATCTCTCAAGCCCCTTCCTCCTGCGATGCTCGATAGTGGCTTTACACCGCAGGCTGCTGACACTGAGGGAGTTGCCTTCTTGCGCATCTGAAGGCCTCGTCAGTGTGTCCATGTGTAAAACACACCTGATGAGGAGCCGTAGCCGAGCCAGGCTTCTAGTCCCTTCCTGGCTCTGCTCATTCTCTACAGGCCTCGTTTTCTTCATCTATAAATTGTGAATGTCATTTGTTGTTCCTTAAGAGTATTTTAAGCATCAAGTGACTATGTGGCTCAGGGCTGGAGCCTGACAAAAGTGTCTCGAAAGGAAGGCTGTCATCTTCAGTGGGGACCTCTGTGTCCTCGGGCTGCCTGTGAGCTCCTGAGGCCCCTCAGTCTCTCTGACAGCTGGGGCTGGTTCGGGAGGGGATGGGAGAGCTGATGGGAAAGGGAGAGGGATGTCTTCTCAGCATCTCCAAGTGACCTGAATGATCCTTCCTAGAAACAAGGCCATGCAGCGTGTGTGAGGAGCCCAGGCTAGCCCATGATCTGGGCAAAATCAGGTGGTTTGAAACAGTGTTGTTTTTCGTTACTTCTGTGCTAGAGTTTTCAAGACACCATGAGGTGACAGAGACAACAGAGAAGAGAGCGTGGCCAATCCTTAGATTTCAATCAGGTTTCCTTTGAATTCTAGACCAGCTGGCCTGCCTGTGTGAGAAGAGAGGGTGCCTCTGGCGACAGGGAGAGACCCTGGGCTGGGAGTCAGCCTGGGCTGAGCTGGATTCCTCCTGGGCCACCAGCAGACACTGTGACCTCCTAGCATGCAATGTGACCTCTGCCGGGAAACCTCTGGCCTCCCCTCCTCCCGTGGCCCCTCCCTGGCCATCTCTAGGTGTCTGCACGGCCACTTCTCTGGAAAGCCTTTCCTGTCTCCTAGGAGCAGGCTCAGCAGCCCCCTGCACCCCGACTCAATCACAGCATCCACACTTTTCCTTTGCAGCAATAATTGTAATTAAAAGTGTGCAATAATTTGTCAGCATTTGTCTCTCCAGAATTGCACACTCTCCGAGAACAGGGACCAGCGACGCCTGTCTTGTCTGAAGCTCCATCCTCAGACCCGAGAGGCGCCCCTGGCATATTGTGCTCGTGAGTATCTGCTGCCTAGGACTGAGCAAAGCCTCTCTCAGTCGCTTCGTCTCCAAAACCCTTATCTTGTTGGACGGTGGCAAGGATTAAATGGCCTAATGTAGTAGAGCATTAAATGATCACAATTAATCATGAGGTGGTTGCTATTCTTCTAATTATTATTATTATGTCATTCCATAAATGACCAAGAGATCCATCGTCCTAAATCGCCTCACTCCCCTGTTCGGAAATGTCTGGTTTACGATTACTGCAGAGTGAAGCCCAGTCTGCTTGGCTGGATCCTGGATCTTCCAGCGTACTTGTCCTCAGTGTCCCTGCACAAACTCTTTTCTCTCCCCAGAATGAATCAGCTCCTGCCACACTCTTGCCCCTGCCACCTCCTCCCAAACAGTGTAGTCCTCATTCTTCTTTTTGTGGTTGACCTGTCTCTGTCCTTGGCCTGATGCCATGCCCGATGGAAGCAAAATCCAACCCACGGGAAGCATTTGGCTTGTAATAACAATGTCAGATTTACTGTTTCTTGATTCTGAACCTTGGACCTCGTCGTGGTTGGGAATTCTACAGCACGTCCTGCTAATGCAAAAGTCAGGAAGGTTTTGCCATCCAAAACCTCTTTTTGTAATAGCTCTTGGTGATTATACCTCGGATGAGAGACAGGGAAGAGCTCTCACATTTTCACCAGAGCATCAGCAAACGCTGGGGAAGTGTGCCCTGTGAACACCTCCCTTCAGAGGTCACTGGCAGCGGAGAGAGGCACAATATATCAAGACTGCAGGAGGCGAAGGTAAGTATCACCTGAGAGAGAAGGATGAGAAGTTTGCCATGTCATCAACACTTACCCCCCTGCCTGCAGCCTTGTGCAGTTTTCTGCCTTCTGTGGTTTTAAACTATTTTCATTAGCACCATAGGGGGGAAATCCATTTCCAGGTCTTTCCCAGGGTTTATGACTTGAGTCAAACCCTCTTAAAGAGGTATAGTCTCTTGATGACAACTGCTTTTACGTGGGATGCAATTTCAGAGCAATATTGAGCAGTCCTTTGGGCAGGGGGGTGGGGAGGTGGGGGGACCTAGCCTTCTAGAGGGCCCGCAGCAGGCACCAGGCTGACAGCCAGGTGAGAAATGGGTGAGTGGTTTCCTTTCCCACTTTAATATACTGCCACTCAATTTGCCATGGTTAATCTCCATGGTTTCTAAACATTTTAAGCTGTGCCAATTTTGTTCAAGCAAAGCACACATAGAACTCCACTCTACAAATGTGACAAGGCCCTGGTTAAAGACAGGCAAGGGGCCTGGGGTCCTGCACGCTCTCGTCCCTTCTTCTCCATCCCCTAGAACCTCAAAAGAACCCCTTGAAATCCATCAAGTGTGGTTTGAAGATCCCTGGTACACTTTTGAAAGACTCAGGCTTGGGAATCAGTCAAAGTCAAATCCTGGCACCTGACTGCTTCTTGATCCTTATTTCCTTTCTCTTTAAATTGAATATAATAATAACTTCTTCTTGTAAATAGTAAATTAGAAATGTAACAAATCATAGATAATGTCTGTAAAGTATCTGTCCCCATAGTAGGTGCTCAATAAATGACAGTATAATCCAGGCCTCAAACAAGCCCCCTTTGCTGGGGCTGTGGGGTCTCAAATGTGAATGACAGACCTCACGAAGCTGAGAGTCTGGTCCCTCCTGTAGGATGGGACACAGCAAGTCCTAGAGATGAGGAAACAAAGCACCATGGGAGGGAAAGAGGAGACAGTGAACATTTCTCATCAGGAGGTGTGGCTGGGCCTTCCAGTTGTCTACCTGATTTTTTCCCTCTTTCTCCTTTGTAATCATGGTTGCCTAGTATCCACCTGGAATCATGGTTGCCTGGAATTAAAAGCACATTTCCCAGCTTCCCTTGCAGCGAGTAGCCAATGAGATGCAAGCAAAAGCGGAAACCTTTTTCAGAGATGCTGGTGCTACTCTCTGTCCCCTTCTCCCCACTTCCTTCATCTTGCTGCTGAGAATGTGCATGGCTAACTGGCTGTCTGGTACCTGCAGTTTCATTTAGCACTGGTTAAAAGAAAACTTTGGAGCATTAAAGAGTTAATGCACCTACAAAGGGTGCATAATTTCATTTTTCTTCAGTGTACCACAGAGGCTCAACCATGGTCATGTAGCAGCTTTCCTCCAAAGAGGTTGGGTGGCTTTGTGATTTTTAAATATTCCATAGCCCCATGAGGTCCTGCTGATTATGAACAACTCTGATTTTCAGGGCCTCAGGCAAGGTTCTCTCTAATATTTGTTATTGATGTGCTCAGAGTGGAGGGCAGCCAGCCCTGTTGGGCTCTTTTCTCTGATCTCACCAAGATCCTGAGAGGCAGAAGGCCTGAGCTAGGGGAGCATCTCGGGATGCCACCAGCTGATGGAGAGAGCTTTCTTACCGCCAGTGCCTGAGGGAGAGTGAGAGTGTAATTCCAGGAGAATGAAGGCGTGAGCTGTGGGTAACTGTGAAGGGCAAGAGGACATCCCAGGGCTCAGCTGGAAGGAGGCAGTGAGGGACCAGGGGCACAGGAGCTATGCTGAGACCCTCTGAAGGGCTCTGGACTCTCCTAACCCAGAGTCACCAGATGGACTGAGGAAGGGAGACAATTCTTGAGTGAGTGATAGACGTTCTCTCCAACCAAATCGTGTCTCTCTCTCACTGCTTGCAACCCTGCATTGAAGACATAAGGATTTCACCAATGTGAGTGGGAGAGAGAGCAAATATCTCCTTTTCGAAAAGGAGCATCACCCTCAGGATTGTAAGTCAACCCAATCAGCGTGGTGTCCTGTGATCACCACCCTGAGAACATGGGAATGGGTTGAGAAGAGGGTGGGAGAAAGAGACAGTTACAGGGCAGAGGACACCAGGAGGAGGGTTTTGACAAGCAGGGCGCTCCAGGAGGTACAGCCATGACGAACGTTTATTGTACACCTAGCACATGCCAGCTACTGCACTCACTCTGGGGACAAACCTACGAAACAAATCCTGCCCCCTCATTTACTTTAAGACGTTGGTTTATGCCAGGTCTTGTCCCTTTCTCTTATTCTTAGAAATCAGACGGAACAATGTGTCTCTCCTTTGGGAAATGGTGCTCTGCCCACTTAAGTCTTCCGCCTGGCCGATGGCCCCGTATGGCAACATCCAGGACTGGTCCGCAGGGAGCCTCTTCACCTGGCAGTGCTCAGCCGCGGAGACGATGGGCAGTGATCTGCTGGGGACGTGTTAAAGTGACCTAGTCTGTGACTGCCAACATTTATCAAGCCCTTCCCACATCCTAGACCTTGTGCTAAATTCATGTGTGAACTTATTTAATCCTTTTACCAATCCGATGAGATAGGTGCTGCTATTATTATCCTAATTTTATAGGCGAGGACACTGAGGCACAGAGAAGTTCAGACTTGCAAAAGAACACACAGCCAGTTATCCACTAGGCTCTCTGGCCTCTATTCATTAACAAAATACGGAAAATGATTTTTTAAAACATCAATCAGAATGGCCTCCAAGCTATTCCTGTAGTTCCATATCCCTCTAAGCACGTTCTAAACTGCATTCCAACAAGCTTTCTTCAGCAGGTGAGACCGCTGTGTGTAACAGCCAGCGCTGTGGGAATTTCGCTGCACTCTGCTTGTGCCCGTGTATCTGGATCCTGCCAGTGTCACCCATTATGCAAGAGACGATTCTTTACCAAAATCTGGTGCTTCTTTTTCCTGAGCACAGAGCTGGCCTCCCTGACCCCCTTACAGTTCAGTGTGGCAAAATGACCAGCTGTTGTCGATGGGCAGTGAGTGCAAGTGACATGCGTCACTCCAGGGAAGCCTGTGTGCCGTCTCCACTCCCTCTCCTCCTTTCTATTCACTAGATGGGGCATGGAGGCTGCAGGGCGTGGCAGAGCCACAAAATGCACACAGCCTGGGTCCCTAAATTGAGTTGCACCCACCAACTAGGAGCATCTACCTTGGACACTTGAACGCAACTTTCTCTGGTATTGGAGCCCGTGTACATTTTGGAGTCTACTTATTCCTATAGCCTAGCCTACCCTAATACACCATTTTCTTTGCTTATGGTCAAAGGTTGAGATTGGCTGTTTTTGAGAACAACAAAAATCCATGAAGGGGCTTGTGGAAGTTTCTAACTTCCCAGTGGTCCCATGTTAAATAGCCACGCTCCCCTCCCCCACATGCCGTGTTCCCAGGGCAAGAGCAGAGCAAGTTGAGTCAGAGGGAAGCTGATGCATGCTTTACATTACCACATTTGTTTCCTTCCAGAGTGGTCCCATTTCTCTTGGGGCTGGAGGCTGGGGGCCTCAGCCCCGGTGCTGGGGGGCCTCCAGAGGACATGGGGCTGATGCGGGGACCACCAGCTGTGGTAGCAGGGCTTCCCCCAAGGTGACTGTCTCCAGAGTTCTGCCTCTTGCAGTACAGCGAGGAGGGGGGCAAGGAGCCCCTGTTGTTAAAGGCGGAGGCAGAGGGGTCCACGCCGTAGCGGTTCATGCCCACAGGGTCCACCAGGCACTCTTCGGTGGTGACTGTCTTGGCTAAGCAAGGAGGCAGTGCAGAGAAGCAGAGATCAGAGAGCAGTTCAGGAAGCTACTTGACCCTCAGTCTTGGCAAACCCTGCCCTGGCAGCACAGTCACCATTATCTGTGAGCATGGGAGGCAAGGAAATGAACCCCACAGCATAATTCCAAATAGCTCACCTGTCAGCAGATTGAGCACATTTTAGTAGGAATTGGGAGATATGCCCCTCCATGTTTAGAGGAAAAAGTGATTATTTTGGCTATAGATGACTTGAAATTAAAACCAAAACCAAGCTCTTTTTCCCTCAGTGGCCTGCCCTCCTGGCAGCCTCTGCCAGCTTGTTAGAGTCTCTCTGCTCCCCTTTCTTGCCTACCACTGCCTCCCTCACCTGGCCCAGGACTCCCAGGGGGGATCGAGCAGGAGTCACAGTGCCCCACAGTAAAGAGAAACAACTTTGGCCTGGGTGGTGATACAGGTGCCATGGTGCTTTCTCCCCACACTTTTAGCCCCAATACACATGAGGGCAGCCACCCTCCACCACAGCTAACAACCAAGGATGCAAGTGCTGATCTGGACAGCCCCATGGTCCTCCCCAAGCCCTTCTCATGAGAGCTAAGGAGCCAATCTAAAGTGCAGGGGGAGCAAGGCCCTGAAAAATCTGCCAACCTCATCATCGGCTCCCCCCAAATCCCAAGTAAATTTAAAATCTACACTTTTAAAGCTCAACCTTGAAGCCTGTTGAACTCTGTGAGCTATACCTGTGGCCAAGTAGTATTTTTTGTTTGTTTTTGTTTTTGTTTCTATGGGCTTTTTTTTTTTTTTTACAAAGTCCAGAGGAATTAAGGGGATCAAAAGAAAAAGGAAACTATTCTAGTCCCTTCTACCTCAGACAAGTTCATGTCTACTTAGACCCATCAATAATTATCTGTATGTTAGACACTATCAAAACAGATCTCGACATTCCCAAAGAAAATGCAATCAGCCACAAAAAAAATCAATGGATCCTCCAAGATTGATTGGCAAGGCGAAATATATTTGAGGCCACTAGATCCAGATGTTTTCTCCATGTGTGGATTCTTTCCACAATGTAAATATTGAAGCTTAAGACTTGATTTTATTAGGGGAGCTAGCAGATCTTCTCATAGTTGGCAACAGACATGGAACTTGCCTGGAAATAAAAGCCATTGCAGATGGGCTACAACTAAAGCAGTGCTTAGAGGTAAATTTATAGCTATAAATACTTATATTAAAAAGGAAGAAAGATCTCAAATTAAAAGCCTAATCTTCCATCTTAACACACTAGAAAAAAGAGCAAATTAAAGCAAGCAGAAGGAAGAAAATAATAAAGAATTTATCAAGAATCAATTTAATAGAAAATAGAAAGAGAATGGAGAAAAATCAATAAAACCAAAAGCTGATTCTTGGAAAAGACCAATAAAATTGACAAGCCTTTAGTTAGATTGTTCCCCCTCCCCACAAAAAGAGGAGAGAGGGAGAGAGAGAGAGAGAGGGAGAGAGAGAACTCAAATTATTAGAATCAGAAACGAAAGATGGGACATTACTACCAATCTTATAGAAATAAAAAAAGATTATTAAGGAATACAGATGCTCTTTGAGTTACAATGGGGTTATGACTGAATAAATCCATCATAAGGTGAAAACATCATGTCAAAAATACATTTAATATACCTAAACTACTAAACACCATAGCCTAGCCTACCTTAAACATGCTCAAACACTTACATTAGCCTTCAGTTGGGCAAAATTATCTAATACAAAGCTTATTTTATAATAAAGTGTTAAATTTCTCATGTAATTTACTGTATACTGAAATTGAAAAACATAATTGTTGTATGAGTTCTTGAAGTATGGTTTTTACTGAATGCCTATTGCTTTCACACCATCATAAAGTCAAAAAATCATAAGGCTAATCTTCTTAAGTCAGAAACTGTACTATAAACAACTGTATGCCAGTAAATTAGATAAATTTAGATAAAATGTACAAACTACTAAAACTGACTCAAGAATAAATAGACAATCTGAGTAGACCTGTAACAAGTAAAGAGATTAAATTAGTAATCAGAAAATTACCCACAAAGAAAGCCCAAGCCCATTTGACTTCTCAGGTAAATTCTATCAACATTTAAAGAAAAAGTAATACTAGTTCTTCACAAATTCTTCCAAAAAACAGAAGAGGAAGGAATACTTTTCAACTCATTCTATGATGCTAGTATTACCCTGATACGAAAACCAGACAGACATATAACAAGAAAACTATAAATCACTTTCTCTTATTTATATGGATGCAGAAATCCTCAACAAAACACAAGCAAAACTGAATCCAGCAACATGTAAAAAAATGTATACACCCTGACCAAGTAGGATTTATTCCAGAAATGCAAGATTGATTCGACATTTGAAAATCAGTTAATGTAATATACCATATTAATAGAATTAAAAAAAAATAAAGATCACATAATCATCTCAATGGATGCAGAAAAGCATTTGACAAAATCCAACACCCTTCATGATAAAAATCACTCAACAAACCAGGAAAAGTAGGGAATTTCCTCATCCTGACAAATAGTATCTGCAAACAAGCTATGGCTAACATCATAATCAATGGCGAAAGACTAGATACTGTCCCCCTAAGATCAGGAACAAGACAAGATGTTGTCTACTTATATTAACTCTAGCTACTTATATTAACATTGTACTGGAGGTTCCAGCCAGGGCAATTGAGTAAAGAAAAAAAAAAAGAAAAGTCATCTATATTAGAAAGGAGGAAGTAAAATTAATGTCTTATATGTACAAAATCCTAAGGAATCTACTTTAAAAACTATTGGAACTAATAAATAGTTTAGCAAGGTTGCAAGATACAAGATCAATATACAAAAATCAATTGTATTTCTATACACTTACAATGCATAATTAAATAAAATTAAAAGAACAATTCTATTTACAATGTCATTAAAAAGAAAATATTAATAATTAGGAATAAATTTAACAAAAGAAGCTCAAACTTATACTCTAAAAACTATAAAACATTGTTGAAAGAAAATATAAATAAATAGAAAAAAATCCCATGTTCACAGATCAGAAGATTTATTGTTAAGGTGACAATACTCCTCAAATTGATCTACAGATTCAACACAATCCCTGTCAGATTTTTGACTGATTTCTTTGTAAAAATTAACAAGCTGATCTAAAACTTGTATGGAATTGCAAGGGACACAGAATAGCCAAAAAAATCAGGAAAAAGAAGAACAAAATAGAGGACTTACTCTTCCTGATTTCAAAATTTACTACAAGGCAATGGTAATCAAGACAGTGTGGGAGGTCATTGTGTTAACTGAAATAAGCCAAGCAGAGAAAGACAAATGTCACCTGTTCTCACTCAAATGTGGCAGCTAAAAATGTGACTCTCGTGAAGATAAAGAGTAGATTGGTGGTTACCAGAGGCTGGGAAGGACAGGCTGGAGAGGGATGAAGAAAATTTGATTAATGGGTACAAATATATGGTTTGATAGAAGAAATAAAACCCAGTGCTCATAAGATCAGTAGGGTCACTATAGTTTACAATAATCTATTGTACATTTCAAAATAGCTAGAAGACAATAATTTGAATGTTTCAAGCACAAAGAAAAGACAAATCTTTAAGGTGATGGATATCCCCAAGTACATGGATTTGATCCTTACAGATTATATGAATATATTAAATGATCACATGTACCCCCAAACCATGTACATTTATTATGCATCAATTTAAAAAGTTTTTTGAATAAATAAAGTCAATGTCACTGATATAAAAAAAAGACGGTGTGGTGCTGGTATATGCATAGACATACAGATCAGTAGAATAAAATTCGTAGTCCAGAAATAAAACCGTGTAAGGGTGCCAAGGCCAGTCAATGGGGAAAAGAATAGCCTTTTCAACAAATAGTGCTGAGACAACTGGATATCCACATGCAGAAGAGGGAAGCATATAAAAAAATTAAAATGAATTGAAAACCTAAATGTAAGAGCACAAACTGTAAAACTCTTAGAATGAAACATAGGGGGTCAATCTTCGTGACCTTGGATTTGACAAAGTATACTCAGATTTGATACCTGAACCACAAGCAACAAAAGACAAAATAGATAAATTGAACCTCATCAAAATTAAAAAACTTTTGTGTTTCAAAGGACACCATCAAGAAAGTGCAAAGACAACTCACAAATTGGGGAAACATATTTGCAAATCATATGCCTGATAAGAGATTTGTGTCTAGATTCTGTTAAGAATTACGACAACTCAATACTAAAAAGACAGCCTAATTTAAAAATGGGCAAAGGACTTGAATAGATATTTCTCCAAAACGACATACAAATGGCCAATAAGCCCATGAAAGATGTTCCACGTCATTAATCAAATCAAATCAAGACCACAATGAATCACCACTTCATACCGACTAGAATGGTTATAATCAAAGGGTCAGAGAATAACAAGTATTGGTGATGCTGTAGAGAAACTGGAACTCTCACACACTGCTGGTGGGAACATAAAGTGGTGCGGCCACTTTGGAAAACAGCCTGGCACTTCCTCAAATGCTTAAAGGAGAATTACCATATGACCCAGCAATTACACTGCTGGGTATATATCCAAAAGAAATGAAAACATATGTCTACATAAAAACTTGTACATGAATGTTTACAGCAGCAGTGTTCATAATAGCCAAAAGGTGGAAACAACCCAAATGGCTATCCACTGATGAATGAAAAAAAAGATATGGTATATGCATATAATGGAATATTATTTGAGCATAAAAAGGAATGAAATACTGATACATGCTACCATGTGAATGAGCCTTAAAACAGTATACTAAGTAAAAGAAGCCAGCTACAAAGGACCACATACTAAATGATTCCATTTATATGAAATGTCCAGGATAGGCAAATCCATAAAGACAGAAGGTAGATTAGTGTTTGCTTAGGGGCTGGGGGTACAGGAGGTGATAGCTAAAGGATATGTGGGGTA